TGAAGAGGAAGTACCGCCACTTCCAGGAGCTGCACCGCGACCTGCACAGCCACAAGCTGATGGTGAACTTCCTGCCCCTGGGCAGGTGAGGCCAGCGCAGGGCACGGTTATCCTGCCCTTCCAGGGCGAGCGTTCATTGTCACGCAGTGCTGCGATAAATGGGCACAGTGAGACTGTGTTAGTGCTGCGCTGTGCAAGGGCAGCAGCTGGGGGCGACCGGGAGAGAGTCCAGCGCTGCAGAGTCTGGCTGCACTGTTCAGTGAACAGAGTCACTGTAACACGAGAACACTTGCACGTATCCTTAAACAAGAGACTGCTGAGGGAAGCCCTGTGGTGATTTACTGGATATAAACACTTTTAATACACTTGAATTACATGTCTGTTTCACTTAATTGCATGGTGCTTCATGGTGACACACGTGAAATACTTGTTTCAGCCACTGGCGGCGGTCACATGGAGGGTGACTCTGGCGTGATGACGCGATGCGGGTTGTGGGTCCTGGGGTCCCACTGACCTTGCCTCTCCCTGTGTCCCCGCAGGTTTGCCGCGGAGAGGCAGCAACTGGGCACCATGGCGGACGAGCTGCCCACCCTGCACGGCGCAGACCGAGCGAGACGGGCTTCCAGCAAGCCGGTACGAGACTCCCGCCACCCCGCCGCCCTTGGGGCTAGCTTGAACCCAGGGCCGATAGCTGGGTGAGGTGGGGGAGACACTCAGTCCAGCTCATCTGTATCTTCACATTAACATCACCATCAGAGCTGTAGAGACTGTAAAGACACTCAGTCCAGCTCATCTGTATCTTCACATTCACACTCATCACCATCAGATCTGTAGAGACTGTAAAGGCACTCAGTCCAGCTTGTCTTCCAATTAACATTCCCAATCTTTCTGTTCTTTTATTTGCAGAAGCTCCTGGAAGACTATCTGAATGTGTTACTAGAGAACAGCTTCTGCAGGAACTATCATGGGATGGTGAGAGACTGGGGAACAGCAGACACGCAGGCAGAGATTGGCTCTCTCGTGCAGACTGGGAGATGTGTAGTGTCACACAGCCACTTCTTACAGGAACTTGTGGCATGCAGTGAAACCGCAGTTAAGTATAGTAAAGCTCAGTGAAAGCAGGGTAAAAGCACAGAAGAGTGCAGGACAGCAGTGAAATCAGGGATAAAGCACAGTACAGTGCAATAAAACCCAGTGAAATCAGGGTGAAAGTACAGTACAGTAGAGTAAAGCCCAGTGACATCAGGTAAAAACACAGTACAGTTTGGTAAAGTCTAGTGAACTCAGGGTAAAAGCATAGTACAGTGCAGTACTACACAGTAAATGTGCAGTCGGTAGATGTGTAGTAAAGCACAGTGAGATCATCTGGTGTGAAGATGGTATTACTGTGAAACTGTGGGTCCCCCAAGCCCGTCTACATTGTATGGGTGACAGGGCCTTCTCCTGCTATGCCTTCAAGCTCTGGAACTCTTTGCCCAAGGATATCAGAGAGTCACCTTCTCTAAACTCTTCAAATCCAGACTCAAAACCCTCTTCTTCAGAAAAGCCTTTACTTAACTGGTTCCATTCTTCACCCCTCTGCT